AATATCCAATTTCTACTTGGATTATCATTTTCTATTTAAAAACGGAAGGGCGTATAAAACTAGGGACACATCGTACGTAGTAGAATGCGCGGAGGAAAGCACGTATATTACCCGACGCATCGGGATGCACCGCGCCGCATCCAGGGAGATCTCCTTGCGCGCGGCCGAGAGCCGTAAACGTACCTGGGACGGAATACGGCGTCGTTTGCGGTTGCGGTGCCCAATAGGCTTGGCTTATAGCTGGATAATGCGCGGCGGTGGACCCGAGTTGGGCCCCGCCGCCGTACCGCTTCCTGGTTTTCATCGCCATCGTCCGCGACCACGAAGAGTTGCACCTCCGGGCACTTCCGGTGGGTTCGACTTCCACTTCGGCCGGCGCCACTCGCGGGTTTAATCGCCGCGGCAGTCGACCGGAAACGGCGACCTCCGTCTTCGGGCGCACGAGGGGTCCCCGACTATTCGCCCATGGGGCCCGTATCGTGGGTCGCTCGATTCTACCCAAAATTACAGGGGTTTCGGGTCGATCCTCCAGATTCCTTGGGTACCCCGTCCGCGAGGGAGATCCAGGCGAAGGTCCCGTTATCGAGTCTTCTCGTTCCGGGAGAACCAGGCCGCGGTCGGCCGCTCGGATAGCCCGGAATCCGCGGAATTCGCGCGCCCGGAGTTACATCGCGACGTCGCGGTCGGGTCCCGGTGAAGGCGCCTCGGGGAACGATCGTCTTCCCAAGGACAAGGGAGATCTCGTCCTCGCTCCTCGAGGATTCGCTTACGCAATCGGATGAGGACGCGTTACGCAACCGCGCGCGGTTACAACGGCGAAGGTCGTCGCAGGTGCGACTTCGGTGGCTTCTGCCCCCGCGGCTCGACCGATCGACCCGGTCGCTCGAGGAGGCCCCCTGGGGGTTCTTCGTCGACGACGGACTTCCTGGAGCGAGTGCCTCGGAAATAGCGCGGTCGACGGCACGCGATGCGTCATGCCTCGCGCTCCCCGCCGTTGTTAAATGGCGGAAAGCGCGGATTCCTCGTCGATCGACTCCCGTCGCTCTTCCTCGAGAGAGCCGAGAAGGCCCCTGGGTCCTGCCTCTCCTTCCTCCGGCGCCCCACGCTATGGAGGTTCACCGGTCGGTAGCGACCTACCTGCGCGCGCAACCGGCGCGGATTCGAAGAGTTGCGCGCGCAAGTCCAGGAGTTCCCGGGAAGGACTTCGCGCACTTCGCGGCGGCTCCCGGTGTACTCGCGAGCGTCCGAACGACACGACGGGACCCGACGTTCGAGGCGCGACACTCAACAAGTGAGCGCCAGCTCTCTCCGCGCTCCTCCTGCGCGCCGGCCTCGCTACCACTACTGCCGCCGTCGCCGCAGCTACCTCGTTCCTCCGCGGAGCGCTCGCGACCCCCACTCCCCCCGAGAGCTGCCGCGCTTCTCTCCCGCGACTGCGCTGTCCGCCGCTCGCGACTCTCCCACGCAGCGCCGCGCAACGCCGTGCAACGCCGTGCAACGCCGTGCAACGCCGTGCAACGCCGCGCATTGCTGCGCAACGCCACATAGCGCCACACTGAAAGATAAAGTAAATTCAACTCAAATTGTGTTCATATTACGTTAAACTCGTCCATAAAGTTGATTCGAATCGATAACGAGTTGGGGTAATTCATGCCAAGTTGAATCGACTCTTTTTTTTTCACCTATAGTTTTGGAGGTAAATTCACTTTTTTTTTTCTCAATGTGCATGCAACGCTATGTAACGCTACACATGCGCGACGCCTCGACCGAGGCACGGGGTGACTCCCGCGATTGGCGTATCCTCGTGGGGGGATAATCGGTGCAGTCCATCGCAGGAAAAAATCGACGGCGATTTGTCGGGACCCCGTAGACGATGCATTATTTATGCCCATTGTCGACGGGCCGAGCTACTTATTCAGCGCGGCGTCCGTCTCGAATTCACCTCGGCGGCTTCGGGAGTCGATTCTAAATCGATCGACGATTCGACTCGGGACGAATGCCGGTCGGTGGCGCACCAGGAGCGCGTTTCGGCGGTACCAGGTACGACAGAACGCGCGGAGTTATTCCTGGCGCGCTCTTCTGTGGGCCTTTCGTCTTATTTCGAGCGGATCGGCCGACGCGGCGATTACCGTGCCCGCGGCGCGTCCGCGCGGCGGCGCTGCGGCGCGCCGCGCGTCAGGGCCGATGCTCCCGCGAAAGTCAAGGATCGCGATCACTGGACGCGTCACCGGGCACGCACGTGCTTGGCACGCGTCGAGCCAAGACCGGGTCGACTCCAGGAAGTCGGCTCCGCAGGTAATGACTTAAGGTGAAGCGAAACCTCCCTCGAATCGGTCGATCCTAATAAGACGGTTCACTTTTTTTTAGTACTCTGAGAAAAAAAATTTGACTCGAATAAATTGTCACAATTCCAAAGAAACGTTGCATCCAATTTACCGTTCAAAGAAATATTTCTTTGGTTCGATGCATTTCATTTCTCAGAGCCCACTGGCTACGTGGACCACGCGAGGTCCAAGGATACCGGAAAATCAATTTTCCGAGGGCGATCCCCGATTTTTCGAGCGAACGTCGTCGCCAAAGCGACCGTGCAAAAGTAATCGCGGCCGAACCTTCCGCGGTTAATCGCGGAAACGACCGACCTCGACGGGCCATTCTTTTCTCTCGTCGAGTTCGCCTCTACAGCTCGAAAGAATCGGCCAACTCGCCGTGTCAAAGGACAATTAAAAGCGCCCGGCCGCCCTTCCTTTCCGACTTTTGCGTTTTCCGCAGCGACCCCGCCACCTTCCTCCGTCTCCCCGGGCGAGCGGCCTCGGTAAGGAGTTTCTCTCGAGAAAACTTACCGGGGTCCGGTAATTACAGCGAGACGTTTTTTTTTTACCTTACGCGAAAGATGTTCTTTGCGCTCGCGAAGAGCTTTTCGGAAGCTCGCAAATTTCCGTCACTCGCCCACGCACGCGCGACGATCGAATTTGTCTCCGCTCGCGTCCACGGCGGAATTCCGCTTGACCGAGAAAGAAACGCAACGAGCGGTTTTACGGAAAACGCGAGCGCTCCGCACCTGGCATTTCTTTTTCTTCTCCCCGAGTCGAAACGGCTTTCTTAAAGCTCTTGCACTTAACTCCCGGTTCCGTACCTACGTGTTACTTGCATATAATAATTTATCCGTCCGACGATCGACCCGCCATCTGCTTGGCACTCTTTAAGCTCTACCTCGCGAGTCGGTAAGATAAAAATTATCGCTCTTGCGAGCTTTCGAACGGGCTCAAATGGGCTGCTTGCTTGGGAAATTACTGACTCTCGTCGAACCGTCCGCTCCCCACCAGAAAGCGCAGTTAAGGTGAAGCGAAACCTCCCCTCGAATCGGTCGATTCGAGTAATACTTTTTTTTTTTTTAAGGGTTTGGACCGAACCGTCCGAAACTTTGACACGTGACTCGCGAGCACCTAGGAATTATCCCGACACGTTCAAAATTTGTTGAAAATTGTTCCTGCGATCGCGGCCTCCGAGTCGGCGTCGGTATCCCTGGGTTGTACTTTATCGGCGAATAATTCCCGCCGAAGACGAGTCTGCCTCTTGCAGAGGGAAGGAGAGATACGACGTCGAAGAGAAGCGGTATGCAAGTCGAGGTGTTCAGGTATGCCAAAGGCGGTCGTCATTTGGGCGCAGACCGGGCCTGTCAGCCAAAATAAACAGAATGTCACCGGTATAAATAAAGCTTTCGCCTCCCTCGAGTCCTCCCTCTTTCTTCCCGCCGCGCCCTTTGGTCCAGGCGGATCGGGTCGCGCCGTTCGACGTCTCGCCGCTTCCGTCGTGACGGACGTCGTCGGGACGCTTTCCGAACCGTCGACCGGTGAATCCTACACGCACCTACGACGACCATCGGCCGAAATAATAATAGACGGACGCATCATCGAGCCCCCTCCTCGCGTTACGCATGCGTTGCGTCGCGGCGCGTCGCCGTTACGCACCGACGCGAGCGTTAACGCTCCTCTTACGGCGACGACTCCCAAGAGTCGTTACCCGGGAATCTCCTCCTTGCATAACGCGTTTACCGGCTCCGTTATGTTCGTCGTATCGTAAAGCCTCGAGTGGCTCCTCTCGTTACGGTCGCGACGCGCCGCGACGCCTTCCCTTCGATTTTGACGACGCCTCGCGTATCCGCTTCGCTCGTTTGGCCGAGCCGAGGCCATATTTCGCTTCTGGAAGGGAGGAAGGACCGAGAGCGTCCTTGTTGTTTCTTTTAGTTCGGTGACATTTTTTTTTTTCATAGTGTACGGTTCAACCAACAAAAATTGTATTTATTCGATCAAACGTTGTTCTACGTGCGGTTACGTGGGCGAGGTGCACCTTCGAGAGTCCCTTCCCTTCCGGTTGCTCACCCTCGATTACATCTTCTTCGACTATACCGTCATCTCGACGGCCCCTCAATTCGGCCAATTAATTTGCACCTAATGAACCCGCCTCGCACTGCATTCTCCGCCGAAGTTGCGACGCGAATAACTCATTACGCCTCGCCGACTGAGACGGGGACGTTTATTGCCCCGACCGAGACCGCCGCGAGGAAACGTCCAATCTCGGGTCACGAACGTAACTTGTCGAAGAAAGTGGCCCTTCACAAAACACCGGAAAGACGTCCTCCGGGGTAAACGTCTCCGCCTGCGGCCACGGAACCGCAGAAGCGGGGAAATAATGCCGCGTCGGGAACAAAATTGGAGCGCTTCCGATCCCACGCCGACAACGGTGCCATGTTCGAAAACGCGGACCGTGAATTTTCCGAAATTTCAGCCCGGATGAAAAATACCCTGGTATCTATGGGAGATGTTAGGATTTTATGTCACGCTCTACTCGTCCCATCCACTGTCGGTGGAATATAAATTACGCTTTTGTGTCGTGTATTCACGTTTGTCCCACCGTGCCGCATATTGAAAATTCTCGGTTAGTGTCGGATTTTCTTAGGGGCTTTTTTCTGTAGGTACGTGATAAACGTGGTAAAAACTTACTATTCCGGTTCTCGCTGTCGGCAGGTTTCATTTGGATTGGATTCTGCATCTGTAAACAGAAAATGATACTTCGGTTAATGGAGAATCCGCGTTCAAAGCACGCTCATGCGCGGGATTCATCTCGATTATTTAAAAAAAAAACGCAAAAGGAGCTCCGCGCAAGGTTACCGCATCACACGAACCGTTAAAAAAATATTTCTTCAGCCCGAACAAGAACCAAAAAATTTGTTTATTAAAAAATGACGTTTCGTGAGTTTCAAGACCTTGGAAGTGGACGAAGGGGTCGCGAAAAGCCGGGGAAGTTTCAGGGCAAAAGCTTGAAAAAGCGACGTTAAAGTCCAAGTCCCGGGGGATTCGGGGCTCGAACGTTTACCTCGTCGACGTGGCGTCCCTCGCAAATTCGCTCCACGTAGAGGCGTCGCGAAGCGTCGACAAAACGGAGGAAAAAGTCAAGGGCGAAACGTCGGGCAGGATTCTCGTGAAAAATCTGCCGGGATTCCGGGGTACGCGTGCGCGTCCACGCCGATATTCAAGATGGCGACGATCGCGTCGACCGCATATGGGATTCCTCCAAATTCGCGGAGATTCGTCGAGATTTCTCGCGGTCCAAGAGTAGGGCCACCGATGAGCGAGAGAGCGGCGATATTCAATTTCCGCGATAGCACCCATCCATCCATTCGACGCCTCCCCTCCCCCAGAAGGGGCGACGCCGGATCTTTTCGCATCCCGGTCGCTGCCATGAATTTATCCGGCCAGCGATCTCGTCTTAATTTCCGTCCCGGCTTATTGTCGGTCCCCGACGAAAAGGGAGGAGTCGGCACCGACCGACCGACATCTTCCCCCGGGTTCGCTTTTTCGCCTCGCACTCATTACACCGAGCGAAAAAATGACTAACTCGAAGAACAAATACTTGATTGCAATAAAATCGAATAAATTGGATGCGACGTTTATTCGGAATGGTGGAAACTTATTCGAGCCAAATCGTTATTCTTTGAATTTAAAATATGTTTCTTTGCTCGACTCGCGTCGAGAAGCCGCGACATAACGGATTACAGGTCGCGTCCATTTCCATCGAGCCCTGTTCGCCTCGACGGCGATACGAGACGCCGTTACCGGCACGGGCACGAAATGGGAATCGATTTGAAAGATTCCGCGAAACTGCACTTGGCAACGCGCCCTCCGCCCCGAGCACCACGGGTCATCCTTCCGACGTCGCCTCCCCGAAGACAGCCTCGACGCTCTCGACGCTTTTTACCTCGACGTCAACGAAATGCCCCGTCGGCGCCGTCGGCGTCGTCGACGCCGATACCGCCCTTTTTCTCGAGGAGATCTCGGCAAGGTCGGACGTCCCGGGACGTCTCCGTGACGCAACGATGGCGCAATTCCATCTCTCTAGTCATTTAGTCATCTCTAAACAAAACGTGATCGCGGTTGCGTTGCGGCAACTGCGGACTCTCGAGGACCCGATGACGCGACACGCCTCTGCGGTGACGGAGGCGGCGTTGACGTAGACGGAGCGATGTATCAGGAAATGAAGTTCTCCGCCCGAATGGAGAAAACTGTCAGAAAATTCGAGCGGCATTTTGGAAATTTCGATGTTTCCCGACATCGGGACGCTAGTCGTGCCTTCTCTTCGCCCGCCCGGCTACGTCGACGGAGAGGGGAAAAGAGGGAAAAGCAACGAGCGCCGTTTTCGTCGATTTTCAAGTCGGTCAAAATGGAGGTAAACGCTCCTCGATTATCGATCCCTTGGTTCGTTTTCCCCGGTTTTCAGCGTCGATTGCTTCCGCTTTTTTCGTCCGAAAAGTTCAGCTCGAAATTGCTTTCACTTAATCCGAGCCGGGTAAGACTCGGCGTGGTCTTTTTGTTTTCATTAGCGTTGTCGAGCAATAAAATCCATTCCGGAGGATCGCCGAGAGAAAACGACTCGCCCAATTAAAAGTAGGTATCGAAACTGATAAATATTACGAGATTGAAGAGGCACGAGAACGGTTATCGATCTTGGCATCTATAGCGAGATCGTAATGGAATTGCCGGGAACGAAGGGAAATGCGGTATCGAGGGCCGGCGAGAATTGTCTTATTTAAATCGGAAATGTGGGTCGAGCCCCGTTAAAAGACGATCGTCGTAAACGCCCGGCCACCTTAGCCGCTCCAGTCGAAGAACAATGATTTATTTTCGGTTTGTGGACTTTGCGGTTAACGAGCGTCAAAGCGCAGTTTTCTTCCGCGACCCAGTTTACTTCGCCCGATTCGTTCCCGAACCGCGGGACATTTTCTCTCGAGCTCGTTAATACCGAACGCCCGACACGAGGTCTAAACACCCCGGGTCTATTTCGGCCGACTTCCCTCGAAGATAAAGTCGGTTGGATAAGCGCGTAAACGAATTTATCAAACTTCTCTCCAAACCGGGTACACCGAACAATCCGAAACTTTAACGCGTGATCGCGAAGGTTCTACCGAAAGTCTTGAATGACCGCAAAATTTCGCTTCGTTCGACGATTCCCAAAAAATCTCTTCTTCGTTTTGAAATCGACGAAAGAGCGGTCTCGGAATCCAAGACGGCGGCGCCGCGCGCGTAATCGAGGAAGCAAACGTCTCGTCACGGAGAAGGAATTCGATCCGGCGAGTCCCGAGCCCGTCCCTCCCGATTACTCGAGTTTTAACTCGATACGGAAGTTTGTACCCGCGCTTGTTTCCAGTCAATTCCCGGAGAGCCGCCCCCCTGCGGGGGTTTCGCGCCGGTCCTGGGGCGATTCCGGAGCCGACTTCCTCTGGGTCACTTTCCTTCCGCCCCCACGAATTCTTCCTATTTGCAAAGTTAACGGCCATTACGGTAGACTTTAAGCCGCATTCACCGCCGCCATTGTTTCTCGGCTCTGTTCTTTCTTAGCGACCCATGCGGCGGCCGCGCGCGTTCCGCCCTTTTCTCTCGATAGGCACCCCTTCGAGTCGACGCGAACGGAATTAACGACTGCCTCGACTGCCTCGACTGCGACCTCTTACGGTTATTATCGCTCGCTTTTCCCTCGGCGTCGGGACGCCGCGCGTCATCTACGATCCCGGTCGTACTCCGAGGGTCCGTGGGGGGTATTTACTCGGGTGGTTACTACGGTGGGTGGCTCTCTTGCCGGAAGACGAACAGTGGCCGGCGGGTTTACAAACATTTACCGAGTCGGCCCATTATTTATCTTATATGCCAGCGTTTGGGCGGAAGCTCGTCCGTCTGGCTACCCGGAGGAGAGCAGTCGGCCGGCCGACCCAAAATTCCCTCGAATTCCAAAATCATCGAGAAGGGTCGAGGCGGATTCAAGCAGGAGGGAGTTATTACATTTCCACGGTCTGCCGTCAAATTCTTGGAAATTCCGACGAATCCATTTTTTTCTCTTATTTTTCCCGATCGCGCCCTTTCTTCCCGACTCCGTGCGCATCGGGTCATCTTTCCGTCCTTCCTTTCTACTTTAGCGACCGTTGCGGAGTAATTTCGCAGAAACCCCTTGGATTAATTCGACGGACTTACCCCTTTCAACTTGATGATGTTGTGGAAAGCGTTTTGCGCGGCGAGGGCGGCTTTCCTCGTGAAGAAGGTGACGAAGCAGCAACCTGGAACAGAGAAGGAATCTCCATAGTGCGAGTCCTCGTTCGAGGTGGAAATCGCAACGACGCGAGAACGCGTCCGCCGGCGATCGGGGTGGAGGTGGGGTTCGGATCGATAGTTCGAAATTGGCAAGAGTTCGATACGACGTAATATCGGGCCTCCAGGGTCTCAGTCGACGGTGCTTACCTCTTACTTGTTAGTTTACGAATACCGCGCGGCGGAGGCCGGAAGGGAGCCGAAAGAGGCGTTAAAGTCCGAAGCGTTTCCGGAACTTTCGAATATTCCGGGGCGAAAGTCCCGTTACGTCGATGGCCCCGTCGAATTGCCTCGTCGAAGAAACGCAACGGGGTTATTCGGAGGCGTTTCCATCCCGGGTGAACTTTCGTCGTGGCGGGCCGAAAATAGGACGCCCTATCCCGAGGGAAAAAAAAAAAAAGTAACGCGCGTTAACCGGCTTCCGCAACTTTTCCACTCGACTCGGAGGAACGGGAGCCAGAAACTCGAAATCCCCCCCGAAAGGGGATGACTTTTCTAATGAGAATTCTAACGAAGGCCCCGTTGTCCTTCCCATAGAGGAAGATGGATCTCCCGAGGAGCGCTTTAAGCGGATACGAAAGCGGCATCCGAGGGATCGATCGTTCGTGAAACTTTTCCCCAAGCTGGGTGTCCCGAATTATTTCAAATTTTACAACGCGAACATATGCGCTATAAGGGAACGAAAACGGGAAGCGAAACGCTTTGTCCGAGTCGACGTCCAGCGGAGAAAGCGGAGTCGATTCGAGACGAGCAGGAGTCGCTAATTCCGTCGGCGCGTTTCCACCGGAGCGGTTCGCCCGCCGCGTCCAGGTTGTCCCCGGGGGCCGGGGGGAGGGTGCGTTGGCACCTCGACGAATGGAGCCATTTGTAGACACGAGTATCACGAGAGCCGTGCCAAGGGCCGAGCGACAGTTCCCGGGAGTGATTTAAAGGTCTATCGAGCGATCATGTCGCGAGATTAGTCGTACTCCGGAATATCGTTCTCGCAGCCCTTGTCGGCCATTTTTTACCCGAGGCGAGCGTCGCTCGTGGCGGGTCGGGGAAACTCGAACAAATTCGCCTCTCTATCCGATATTTGCTCCACCGTGAGCCGAGGGAGTATTTACTTAAGAAATTATGGATTTTAAGGTGAAGCGAACCCCTCGAATCGGTCGACTCGAATAAGGCACTTATTTTAATTGCACTACCCGAACGTATTTAGATCGATGTACAATTATCGAGGACTCCGATGTGAGAAAAAAATATGTCAGGACGATCGTCCAATAATTTGGACCACTCTCGTAATCGAGAAACTCGCGTTTGAACGGGAAATCGTTTTCCCCGATTTCCGAGAGAATAGCCCCTCGCCCCGGCCGTTTAGGGTCGATCTCTCGATCGAGGTCGAACTTTTCGACCCAACGACCCTCCTCGCGATTCCGCTCGCGAGGAGTAATCGGACGCGGGGGCCGCAGAGGATGAAATTGGGGATGAAATTGCGGATGAATTTGGGTCCTCCGCGGCCGCTGCGTCATTAGAGTCCCGCGGGAAATCTGCGCGGACAAGCCGGGGGCGGCTCCTCCGGCGCGTCTTGGCCGCGGCCGCAGCCAGCCGGAGCCCCGGCGAACGCGTTCGATTACCTCCCGCTTCCGCTTCGTTCCGGAGTAATCCGGCGAGCGGTTCCGCGTCGCGTTCCATGCAAAAGCCGTCCGGCGTCCGCCTCGGCGGAGTAACGCGATACATTTTTACCCGGCCTGGTCCATTGGTATTCCGGCCGCGTAAAAGATGGCTCCCCCCCTGCGGATATTATCCCCCGGGATAGATGCCGGTAAGACCCGACGCCAACGTCGCGGCGCCGACCTCGTCCACTGGCGAGAGTCGATCGACGTCGATCGCCGATTCCGCGATCCGGATCCTCGCGGAAATTGGTTTCCGCCTCGTTGCCGCCGCACGTCGCTGCGGTAAACGAGCGGGGGCGAGACCGCGTTTTTATCCTTCCAAAAGGTCGGAAGGGGGTGGCGGCGCAGATAAGGCGGAACGACGGCGCCTAATAAGCTCGCTCGTAAAACACGCACAACCGACAATTCCGACCCGTTCGCCGAGGATAAGCGAGCGAGACCGGGTTATCGGCCGAAGAAACCCTTTCCGCGTCCTCTTCCGCCTCCTCGTTCCGCAGACCCCGGGTCACGATCCGGCGGTAACGATCTCGCCGTCTCCCTCGAACGTCCGCGCTCGCGGGAAAAGAATTCACAGGCATAACGAAGAACTTTACTTGCAGGAACAAACGTTCTTTTTTTCGTTCTCGATATAACAAAAGGGACTCGACGCTCATTTATACACCCCTACGGATCGCGCCTAGATGGCAGATATCGATTCCGACATTTTTGTCGGTAGGCTCTTGGAATCCCTCGGACTGGCGCAATCACGTCGGATCACGTCGGCGTCGGTCCGCCGTGAGGCATCCCGCGGGGACGGCGCGGCCGCGCCGGATTACGGTCGGGCAATTTGCCGCATCTGCCGTCGACCGCATTGTCTCTCCTCCCGAGCTCGACGTCGAGGATCCTCCTTCCTCCCCGCGCCTTGGACGCAGGATCTTCCCTTCGGGGAGGGTGGCGAGGATCCCGGGATGTCGAGGTTTCGAGGTCTCGAGGTTTCCAGGCTCGGAGGACACGCGCTGCTCGAAACGACCGCCGTTTAACGGCCGACCGGTCGCCATCCGCGCGACACTTCGGACCGGCCATCCGCAGCGCGGAAACGGAGCGTCGGACCCGCGAGCGGCACTGTCGTCGCCGTAAACCTTTAAGGGCGCTGCACTCTTGGGAACGCGATATCACGCGATATTACGCGAAGATGATCGCGCCCTCGGTATTCGCGTCGTTTTCTGGGATCCCCTCTGGAGAGAAGTCGTTGGCAAAGGACCTCCGTTAAAACGGGCGACCGTATCGAGAAAAAACATTAATCGAGCGAAAGAAATATTTTGTTACTTCTAAGAAGAATGGTATATAATAACCAAATATGATTTAATATCCCTGTCTGTTCGCAGTCTCGCTCTCGAGCTTATTAATAAATCCGGGTCTCAATCTCCGTTCTCGCGCCCCGAGCTCGGACCCGCCCAGGGCTGATTTTCCGCACCCTCCCGACAGTTTTTCCCGGGCTGCCCGCGGAACGGTCGCGGAATACAAAACAGCCGCATGGCGGTAGGCTTTAACCAAGATTGAACGGCCAGCGTGGAAAAAAAGGAAGCCTCTCTTCGCGGAGACGCGCGGCTTAATGCGTTAGGTATTATGCGCGCTGATGGATGCCGCTCGTTAATTTTATAATTCCGCCATTGTCGGAGCGCGGCCGAGCGGCGGCCTCTGAGAACCAGGGCGGAGGAAGAGGGAGAGGAGGGAGAGGAGGGAGAGGAGGAACAAGAGGAAGAAGGTAGCGGAAGGGCGAATATAATGGCGTTCGACGGCGCCGGAATTGGACGGGGCGGGTTAGGGAAACTCGAGCACGTATCTCGAAGGTCAGTACGGGGGCCAATCCGCGGGAGGGGATTTGTCGCCATTAAAGGGGTCGGGCTCCACTTTCTCCGCGCCGGGGTGGATCTCGAATTGGAAAAGGAATCCTCGCCGACGCCGGGATTTACCCCGGGCTTTGCGGATAGGCGCGACACCGTTTGTCGACGCGTCCCTCCGGATCACCGAGATTTCCGCAGCGAGAGGTATATCGAGGCGATCGAGTCGCGAGCTTGCGAGGGGTCGAGAATTAAGCGACCTCGACCTCCCTGCCTTACCCTGAGAAAAAAATGTCACCGAACCAAAGAAACGTTTCGCTCGTTCCATGAAATCTTTTTCTCGGGGTGGAGATGCACCCGCAGGAAAAAAATTCACCCTGTCAATTTCGCATGCCAAAGTTGATCGGATCCCTGACGACGGTCGGTGGTTCGGCGAGCTCGGCGCAAATTCCCCGGAATATCTTCCGGAATCGGCCGGAACGCGGTTACGCGTTACCTTGGCCCGGTCAAATATTTGCGTAATCGACGCCGGTTCTACAATGGCGGTGGAACCGCACCAACGGGGCGGCGTACTGTAAATGGGAGGATAAAGGGGACTCGCGCCGAAGAGGATTTCGGTAACGAAACTTCGCTGATCCGGCTCCTTATAATCCCGCCGGCGAATTAGCCCCGTCTGCGGAATTCGCGCGGACCAGTTTCCACGATCGGGGGCGAATTTCGCGCGAGTAGTCTTCGACCGAATTATCTCTGGAAACGAACGCGTCCGGGCAGGATCTCTTTTTCCACTTATTTTGAACATTTACCCCACAATTTATCACCATTTTTTCTCAGTGCAGGCGTTATTATAATTTCTAGTAAACCGAATCGCCTTTGCGGGTCGCGCAGAAACGCACGGTAAGGCGCTGAGTGTCCGCGGGCGGTGCCTAGAATTTTTTCGAGCCCGATTCGCCACGTACAACCCAAGTTGGAACTTTTCGCTGCGGCGAGAAACGCAATTCCCCTATCCTTACATTGACGCCGTAAAAGTCCAAATCCCCCCACGTAAGTTTAAATTAAAGTCGCCCACCGACTTTCCGCTTAACATTCGCCGAGCATTCCGCAGGAAGGTGGAAGGAAAACGGCCCAAAGGACTTAAACAGAGCCCGAACCGAGTTCCCGAATATTTTCCTTCGGCGATAATCTCCCGATTGCCTCGCAATTACTTAAACCTCGCTCGGAAGCTCGGCTCCGTATTTTCGACGAGGCGACCGGGAGATTTAAGACTCCCGAGAGTTGCGACCTTCTCGATGCATCGCCCCTTTCCGCTCTTTTATTTCACCGACACCGTGAGAAAACTACGGGGGTCCGGCTGAGATTAATGGAGGGAGAGGGAGAGGAAACGCGGAGGCGGAAATCCAAACTTTGTTTCAAAGAGCCGAGGGCCGCGACGCCGTAAAATCTGGGGCGAAAGGAGGGGTTCTTGCCCGGAAATTTAAGAAAAAAAGCGTTGGACCGAACTGTCCGAAATTTTGACACGCGACTCACGAACACCTAAGAATTAACCCGACGTTTTCAAAATGTGGATTTTTGGAAACAAAGTGTTGACTGATCCAAGACCGCTGTTTTATCTTAATCCGGTAGAATGCGTCGCGGGGAAGCTTCTGGAGCGTCGCGACGCTCTCGCCCGGGGCGACCTTCCGGTGGACGAATACCTTGCCAGGAAGATCGCCCGGGGGTATTTTCGAACAGGAACCGACTTCGGATTCGAGACTTCGGTCGGCGGCCAGGGTCCATCGTCTCGTTCTTGGCCGGTCGCGTGGTCTCCGCGCCGGAATGCCCGGGGTTACGACGCGGCCATCCGCCAGAGGTCCGACGTTTGTCGAGGGTCAATATTTGCGGAAGCTTTCCGATCCGCCGCTTCTTCTGGCGTGTCTTCTTCGCCCGTTTTCCGCGGCGGAGAACTCGATCGGGTCGGACATCGATACCGAATCGGTTCGACGTCTTGCGGGGATCGTCGCGACGCCCAGGGCGTCTCCTGGAAATCGTCGCCTGGCAACCTTCGATCGGCCCATCGAGGAAGTTTCCCTTCGGTCGCGAGGAGTGTCTCGCGAACTTTGGAACTTTGGGCACTCGCAGGGAAGGGCGAAGACCCGAAGGAGAGGTCCTGCGAGGACGCAGGACGCAGGACCGCCTTCAGCGGCGCATCCGAAGGGGGAAGGGCAAGTTCGGGAACAGGAGGAGATTTCTCGCCCGGGTCACCCTAACGCGCTTAAAAAGCAGAGCCAACGAGGCGGAAAAATTCGCTAAGCCCAGGAGGGTTTCCTGGTCGTAATCGCCCGTGTGAGTCCTCCCGGCGAAAGCGCTCTCTGAACGCGGCTTAACCATTTCCAGTGCAGGACGCCCGCTCTTCGATTGGCTTCGACCGCCAAGTAAAACTTCCGATCCGAACCAACATTCCGGAAGTACCGCTAAAGCCATTCCGTGTAACCTCGCGTTCGAGCGGAGCGCCGCGCCTCCCAATCGATATAGGCGCCCTTAAAATCCTCGAGGCCAACTTTTCCCTCGAGGACCGACTCGAGTGGACCATCCGGAAGGCGCAACCAAAGGAACGATAAAGGAACGCTAAATCGGAAACAAGGAAATCCAAGTTTCAACCTTGACGTTACGCGTTGCATCCGACCCATCGATGCGGCCTCGATTAGCGACTCGAAGTCGACGCGCGTCGAGATTCCCGACGCGGCAGAAATTGCGCGGCCGGAGCGAATCCTCCCCGGCGAGGAATTTCCATTCCCGGGGACAAAGGTCGGGTTTTTCTCCCGGTGAAAGGATTGGCGAAAGCCTCGGCATGTAGGCAGGTTCGCGGGAGCGTAGGGGACACGAGAAGGGAGGTTAGCTTCGATCAATAGACCGAGGAAGGGCCGCGGAAGCGGCTGACGACCGCTGTCTGGGCATCGATCCTTAAGCCGGGTATCCGTGCCTTTCCCTGCTCGTCCTGCTCGTCCTTTCGCCAGGACCCCTACGACATCGATATTCATCGAATCGCCAAACGGACCGCGAGACCCCACCGATCTCTAATGCCCGGTTTACAATGGCCGCCCCGGTCGTGCGCGAAATTCGATCGGTCCAAGTCGCGACATCCGGTCCTCGATTTGCCCGATTACTCGCCAGGACGCCCTCCGGGATCCACTTCCAGGGATTCTACAATTTTTTCCGCGCACGTTTATGCGGCAAGTAAAACTCGTTGCGACTGTGAACTTCTTTTCCGCGTGCCACTCGAGGACGAGGCCTTTGAAAGGGAGATCGACAGATTTTTATCTCGAGTTCCGGAGATCCCGGGAGAGACGCGAGGGAACGAAGTCGTTTCCTGACATCGGCGTCCCCGTCGATAACGATTTCCCACGGGACGTTTTCACGGCCGTCATCCGTCTCGTTTCGCGCCCTGGCCTTGTACTCGGCGTCGGTCTAAACAACTTCTCCGAGAGTTATGCTCTTCCAATTTACTCCCGCCTCGTTACCGCGCTTTCTCGGGCTTCCTTCTCGTTACGTCCTCTCACCTGGGCGGTTTTCCCGGTGAACGACGAGCCGACAGACGCGATTCAAGACCCGGGTCGTTAGGACGGTTCCCGATTCGGAACCGTCACCGTCGTCGACGTATCGTTCGAGGTTCCCTTCCTTCCCGCTCGCGTTTCCCCGCTCCTCGGAATCGATCCCACGGTTTGCTCTTATTCTCCTTCATGGAGAATGCGTACGGAACTAAGGAGCGCCTCGAGTTAGGGCTTCATCCCTTGATTAAGGTGTTACGGAAGACGATGAAATAAATTCTCTACCGAGGAAACCCTCGACTCTCCATAGATACGGTGACGTAGTCGCGAGGGACGCGATTACGGCATTCGAAACGAACGAAAAAAAAATATCCGGGGTGGATGTCGCAAGGTGCTCACCTTTACTGCTTCCGGTTTCCTTGTCCCGCAAGACGTTCACCTGGTGGACACGGCCAAACTCCTCGAACATGGCCCTGAGGTCATTTTCGTCCATGCTGCGGGGAACCTGCCCGACGAACATCTTTATGTAATCGGGGTCGGGCTGCTCCACGCTATTGTTGCCCATTATGCTGAAACAGACAATATCGGAATTGCCGATAAATTTCGGTGTCCGGAAAAAAGGACATTTGCAGTTTTAGCAATGGCCAATTTTCAAGTGCTCCCGTTTATTGAAGCAGGTAAAATTTCTTGTTACACCTGTGAATTCTTTTTCTGCGGGCGCAAGTTCCCCGGCGGCGTTCGAATAATTCGATAACGAGTCATCCACTACGAATCGTAAAGTGCAGCCTCTGCCACGGACAAGGTTTCGTTACTTGCACTCGGCGCTCGTGGGGGCACCGTTTTTCATTCGCAAAGTTAGTTCCTGCCGTGAGCTGCCCACTCGAACTTTCCCCGGTCGTTCGATGGTTCTCCAGTGGAGAAGTGGCCGGTCCTTTCCGGTTCGCGTTTAATTTTCATAGACTTCCGCCATCGACGTTGCTCGATCCGCCCGAAGAGTCCCCGTTGAGCTCGAGTTCGCGACTCCGGGGGAAGAAAAATTAAACGGGCGGTTAAAGAACCGCTTTAAAGCTCGAGACGGGCCGCCTCCGAGATCGAAAGAGAAGCTGGAAGGAGCCTGGGCCGGAACCGAGTCGGAACCGACTCGGAACCGACTCGGAACCGACTCGGAACCGGGTGGCTCGGTTAACCGGCAGCCGTGAGTTATGTGCCCCGTCGAGTACGGCTGGTTTATACGAGCGGAAGACATTACCGCTTCACGCTGCGGACGCGACAGTTTGTTGCTCCATAAAATTGCGCCGGCACAAAGTTGCGAGGTTCCGGGGGAATTCGGGTCGTCCGGGATTGCCGGTTATTTCCCGGGTGGGAACCTATCGGCTCTCGAAGGAGCAGCGGCCTCGGGAGAAAAAAAAGAAAGGGGAAACAACCGAGGGCCGGCGATGCCGAAAGACTCGGCGCGCGACCCGCGCTCTCGGAGGTTAATATCGGCCGACGAGGTTTAAAGCGATTTTCCACCCGGTCGGCTCCTCTCATCTTTCCCATCGTGGTCGAGAAGAAGCTAGATGGGGACAGGGGGGATCGCGTCTTGGCTCGGGACTTCCTTACATAAGGAACTCCCTCGGCTCGCTCTTCGCAAAGATGGTTCGGATCAAGGTGAAGTGAAACACGTCGCGAAATTTTATCGACGCCGGTAAAAAAGATTCTAACAAATATCTACGTTCTCGACGCTCGTATTTACGTCGATAATTGCGTCGAATTATATTGGGTGTTGCATTAAAAAAAAAAAATCTTAACAAGGAGTGTCTTATTGGAATCGAGCTATTTGAGGAGGTTTTGCTTCACCATAACCCCGGAACGGAAAGGGGCAGGTTGCGCGTCCGCGATCCTCCGCACGATATCTTCCCGAGAGGACAGCTCACCCTCCCAACCGAAAGGCAACTCGGAATCGACTCGGTATCGTGGAGTGCGTTTAATCGCCCTCGTCCATTAACGAAGCCAGAAGAAGGGAGAGAGGGGAGAAGGGGGAGAGAGAGGTCGAGGTCGAAGGGAAGACGCGGATAATGGCCGTAAGAGTAGACGCAAAGTACATCAAAGGAGTGCCACCGACTTCCTCGCCTCGTCGGCCCCTTCTTGGACGCCCTCTCGATTTTCTCGACGTCCCTCCCTTTCCCGACCTCCGAGGAGTAACCTTACACTTCGACTCTCCTCCGACCTCGACGTCGAGTCGTCCGGTCGTTTCCTCGCGACCTCGCGGCCTCGACTCGGTCTTTCCGCCGAGGTCGAAATCATAGTTTATACTCTGAGAAAAAAAAATTTCATTGAACCAATGAAATATTTTGCTGATTCAAAGAATAATTATTTAATGCATTTTTCTCTCAGGGTAGCTCCTAAAACTGTTTGCGACGTTAGACTAAGAAAATAATGAAGTAATAAAGTTGGAACGGCAACTAAACCTTTTTCTCCGTGTCGGGAGAAGGGGGCCCCGGTTCCGCCGGTCGCTTGATCGGCGGAACTCCTATTAAATCTGGCGAGAGCCTTAAGCTTGCAGGAAATTGCATAAAATTGAAAGGGCTCGGAGCTCCGCCGTCGAACGGGGAGAAAAACGCGGGAAGGTCGGCCGGCTTGACGGGCTGCTCGATTGGCCCATTTGCCTAGGCTTAAGTCCCCTAATGACTTTCCGGAAAATTCAATTCTTCCCGCTCGAGAACGAGAATCTTGGAAGGGAACCGATCGGAGCCGACAAGTGCGCCGGGGGTGATCGCCGTTCGTTTGCCTTTTCATTCTTCTCCGGAGCCTCCAAGGGAGGCGTTATTTCGCTAAATTATCGGACTCGTCCATCACTTACCGCCGCATTCGAGATTCCGCCGTTACCGCGCGAAAAAAGGATTCATTCGCGTCACCTTAATTTTATACCTTTCCGAGGTGCGCCCTCGTATATGAAACGGCAAATTCCAATCCGTGTTTAACTTTTTAGCCATCACCGTCCGGTCCGCGCTGCGGAAGGAGGGCGAAAGGAGGGCGGAAAGGGCGCGCGGTTCCATAAAACTTGCACGGAGGCGTAAAGGAAGTCGAGTCGTTTCCGAGTAGAGACGTCGGCTTTACTCGGCCCGCCCGACCGCGGGTGCCGCAATCGCCTAATGCAGGAGGGGGAGGAGATCCACCTTCCGGTGAATCGGACATTACCCTCGCGATTCTCGCCCCCGTGGAGGAAGCCTCGCGACCGAAGAGTCGGAGTCCGGGCACGCGAAGGGGCGAGGGCGGGCCGAGGGAGACGGATTGACGGATAGGCGGATAGGCGGAGGCGACAGCGCCGCGGGCCGGTGGCAAATGAAATGAACGATCGTACGCGAGATGCGGCGCCGAATGAGTGATTTCCCAGCGGGGCAAAAATGCCGTTCGTAGTCAAAATGCAGCCCGAGTAGAAACGATAACGGGGCCCCCCGTTACCTTTTCCCGTTCGGGAGGTCCGCATCGCGTCCTCGGTTCGACTCCGGGCCGCCGGGTCGAGGATTAATCGCGTCGCGACCTAACTAAAACCCGGGACAATGGGGGAGACGCATCTTTACGTCTTCTGCCGACAATGCATATTGAATTCGGCGGTGGGCGCGCGTGACTGCAGCCGCCTCGGGAACAATGGTGCCACCCGCGGGTTGCAAGCTTTCCCGGAGTTTCCTCGGTTCCCCCGGTTCCCCGGTTTCCGCGATCTCGCCCCTGGCCCCGCTTCCCCCAGTCGCCAAAGGGTTAGTCCGAGTTACGCGGACCAAGACGGGAACGGCTCGCGAGGGCCGCGCCCTTTCTCTCCGACGAACTCACGGAAGACGTGAACGCTCGAGAAAGCTGGCACGGCCGCCGTTTTTCGAAAAAGTATACGAGGAAAAAATGTTGTATCAAATTTAATTGAATCCTACCATAATGGGCATGTAGCCTTAAGGGCGGGGCTGGGTAAAAATGGGATCGCACTCGTAACGGTCTTATCGCATAGTCGAATCGATCTCTCATCGGCTACGCGACGGAAGGGGTCCAACGTTCTCGAGCGAGATTACGAGGTCGACTGGCTCTCCGACGTGGCACCGTTATTATCCCGGCGACGTCGGAACGCAACGACGGGCCGGGCGTTTTCTCTTACTTTTTGGAAAATAGCTGCTACGCCCGTGAACCGACTACGGACGCCAGTGGACGTAGGCGCGTCCAACTTTTGAATTACGACGTCGAACCGGCCCGATGCCCGGCCCCTGCATTCGCATTCACCGCTCGCCGTCGCGGGTGCCAATTGAACGCGAGCACTTGAGTAATTGCCGGGGAAAATTGAAATCGACTGCAGCCGTGAATTGCCGCGCGACGGCGCACTCGACGTACGGCTCGTCTTGCGAGGTACGGATCGTTATTTTTATGCATGGCGTTACGTATCGCGGTCCGCTGCGGATCGATTAATCGCCTCGGGCACCGATACGACCGAGCATCGTCGGATCGAGCGGGGTGGTCGTCGACTCGGAGGCCATCTTGGGTCCCGAGACGTAAACCTTAATCCGAAATTAGAATTTACTCGAATTTCCTCGGCCGCCCCCGACGCCTCTTAGCGCGCCCTGCCCCCGTACAATTAACGGTAACGGTCCGAAACGCGCTAAAAGTCGCCGACTTTGGAGGCGAGCCAAGTGTCGAACTTCGCGACTGCTTTCTTGGATTTTCTTTTTGCCTCGAGTGCTCCTTCGCGAGTCCACCTTCCTGGAGGGAGAGAGAGGGGAGGAATCCTCCGAGTTCGCGGTACGACCGCTTCTCCATTCCTACGTACACGCGGAAAAAGAATTCGCAGGCATAACAGGAAATTTTACTTGCCTCGTCAAACGTGAACACGTGAAATGTGGGCCGGCAAAATTTGTATCCAGAAACGGTAATATCGATTTAATTTAATCATTTAAACAAGGAGTTTATTAAAATCATCGCGATTTAAAAAAATCAGCGGCTCTATTATTTTTTAAAGAAATCATGATTTTTATCAACCCCGTTCGCTAGAAGAGCAAATTTTTTTTCCGCGTTCTTACGCTTGCGCCCCCTCGAAGGTCGGTGCCCTCTTTTTTTCCCCGTGCATTGCGAGCCGATTTTTAAAGAATTAAATTCAAGAGGCCACCAGCCCGTATAGCACTCGGGAAGCGAAAACCGACGATCGATGCAACCCTCGCGTATCTTGGATGCTCGCTGCTCGGGGTGCATAATCCATGTAACGAGGGAGAAAAAAAGCGACAAAAAAAGGGAAAAAATAGGTAATGCTCGCAGCGAGGCAGTCGCATCTGTAATATTCAATACACGGTCGCGGGGAGGCATTCGCCGATTCAAATCCGCGAGCACAAATTCCAAGGGTGCTCTCCCGGACGGTCTCGCGCCCCGTTAATGGGGATGCAACTCCCTCCAAGAGGGTCGGGGGATGATTCCAAACGTACGGCCCGATAGGGAAATCCACCCTACGTCCACCTCTCCCTTTCGCGCCCCTTAACTTCTCGCCCGACCGTTGACGGGCGATTTGGCAGAGGTCCAACTCCCTCGTCAACCGACCGTATCGCGGAGCCGCCCTTCCGAC